CGTGGCCCCCGAAGGCACTAGTGACAGCGCCCGCACGTGGTTTCACCTTGCATTTCGGCGCACCCCTCACTCGTTTCGTGGCCTCACATGGGGCTGTACCGACGGCTCCGGTGGCAGCGTCCGCATGGCGCACCCGTGCCAATTTGAGCACACCCGTCACACGCGTCGTGGCCCCAGAGAGAGGTTCACCGAGGACGATACCCACCACTGCGTTACACACAGCTGTACATGGTTGGCTCCTTCGCCAGGATAGTTGTTACAAGGGTACCTTGCGTCCTTACAAAGAGGTTGCATTTGAGACGCGTCTTTTTCCTCATCTTTGGTGCCATTTACTTTAGAGGAGGAAAAAAAATGCGTCCTTGCGTTCTCGGCCGGCTAGCTTCTTAGGTTCCTTTCTTTCCTCAACCCTCTCACCGCCTACGCCGTCTCATACCATGTGCCTGCAAGCATCATCTGCCCCGTTCCTCTCCCCCTCGCCGCCGCGGAGGGCGTAATCGTGGGCCCGCGCGACGCTCTACGTGTCCACGCCAGCGAGCGGCTGCCCACGACGGGGACCACCACGGCGCTGCAGGTGCGCACGCGTACGTGCGTTGGCGTGTGAGCGAGAGAGAGAAAGAGAGAGAGAGAGAGAGAGAGAACAACAACAACAACATAAACGAGAAAGAGAGAGAGAGAGAGAGAGAAAAAAAAAAAAACAGAGACAGACAGAGTTTGGATCTGGCTGGCGCTCTGGCTCCGCGCTTTCCTTGGCCCTCCTTGCCCTTGTCGTCTGTGTCGATCGCCCGTTTTGTTCTGCACGCCGTTTTTTTGTTCTGCACCGACGTTTTGTTCTGCACCGAGGTTGGCGGCTGCCCCACCCGCTAGTGCTGCCGCTTTAGACTGTTTCAACCACCCGCAGGCCAGAACCCCGCGTCGCCGCGCGCGCGGTTGCCAACAAAAAGTAAGAGAGAAAGAATTAAAACACAGAAAAAGACAAACGAAACATACAGGAATGCGCCTTGGGTCCCCACCTTCAGGCACGACCTCGAGGGCTGACTGGACGACAGCTGACCCCAAGAATCGGCACTGACAGCTTTTTAGGCCCCGGTCGCCACTGCGACCGTGGCCTGAGTTGGCCATCGCCCGCCTGGCCTCGTTTCACTGGCCAGGTGGTGGCACCCTTTCCGCCTTAATAGGCAAGTGCTTCCGGTCGATTGCCTCGCATGCCGTTTGGTTGTGACGGTGCCTTGACTCGGATACGACGGCCCTCGCTTGCCATTGGAGTTGGTATGGTTGATTCCGCCTCCCTCTCCCGGTGGCTCTCCGTCTCTCCCGTGCGCCGAGTCTCGGCTGCATAGATACTGCGTTCTGATCTCTGGCATAGAAACTGTCCATGTTCTTGCTCGCGCAACTACACTATTCTTTCTGTTTGGCATGTCGAATTGGACCCACCCAGTGCGAGTTTGATCCACATCTCCCTTGTCGCCGCGCGCCAGTCTGCGGATGTTAAGTGCGCATTTCCGAGTCCTTCTACTGGCCCACCCAGCGCCCGGAGTGACTGGCCGCAGTGTTGCTGCGCACGGGCTTATTGAGGGACGTATGGAGCCCGTTTCTTTATTGCTTGGGGCATGACGGGCGTCATGGCCCCCGCTCCCCCCCCCCTACGACGTAACGCTCCCCCCCCCCCCAATGCGCTCCGGGCACTGCCGCCGTGCGCATTGGGATCCGCGTAGGTGTCCGCGTAGGAATCCGCATAGGTGTCTGGTCCGCAGGCGTCGTCGTCGTCGTCGTCGTCGTCGCCGCCGTCGTCGTCGTCGTCCGTCGTCGTCGCTCGTGGTTCGTCGCTCGTCGCTCATCGTCGTCGTGCGCGCGGACGCGGCTGGAGCTTGTTTTTTAGTCAGGGCCGATGACGGCAATCATCTGGGGGGGGAGGGGGTCCATGACGTCACGTTTCGCGCTGGCGGCGTCTGGGAATGCTTAGGAATGACGGAGGACGGGTGGCACGAACATGTAGGTGGCGATATGCACCACAACGCCTATGTACATCACAGTGCCCGCGTGCACCGCAGCGCCTGTGTACACCACACTGCCGATATACACCACAGCAGCCGCGTGCAACACAGCGTCAGTTTGTGCCACCGCGCCCGCGGGCACAGCAGCTCCTGCGTACACCACAGCGCCTCCGTACCCCACATCAGCCGTGCGCAACACAGCAACAGTGTACACCACAATGCCTGCGTGCATTGCAGTGCCTGTGTACGCCATGGCGCCTGTGTGCACCACATCAGCCGTGTGCAACACAACACCATTGCTGTGTATAGAGTTTCAGAAGGGATCCTTGTGACAAAATGGGGCGCGTGTGGATTCCAGAGAAAACAATGGAGAACAAATCGTCATGGACAAAGGAGCGCCGCTGGAATCTACGAGTCCCCCCGAGTCCGCCCGCATCACCTGAATTCCCATTTGCGTCCAGGAGGCTCCAGCTAAACTGGCCGTCCGAGAACCAAGTGGACCGATTCAATCGACCATTCTGCGGTGCACGCTGAGATGCGCACGTGCGTTGTAACGCCAAGCCGCAGGACAGGGGGGAAAGAAGGAGGAACAAGAGGAGGAGGAGGAGGAGGAGGAGGTGGAGGTGGAGGTGGAGGATGAGGGAGGAGGGAAGAACGTCGCATTCGATTCTCAGAACTTTCCTGGCGTGGCGTTTAGTTGTCCGCAGCAGATCCTGACGCACATGCTCCTTCTACCTGCCCTGTGCACGCAGGCGCGGTGGTGTACACCAGCGCTGCGTTGCACGCGGATGCTGTGGTGTAGACAGGCGCTGTGGCGTGCACAGGCGTTGCGGTGCACGCAAGCATTGTGGTGTACACAGGCGTTGTGTTGCACATGGCTGCTACGGTGTATGGACACTGGCGCTGTAGTGCTCCCAAGTATTGTGGTATACGTGGGCGGTGCGTTGCACACGGGTGTTGCGGTGTACGCAGGCGTTGTGGTGCACACGCGCGGTGTGGTGCACGCGAGCGTTGTGGTGCACACAGGCGCAATGGGCAGATCGCCACTTACATGTTGCTCGCGTCGTCTGTCGCTCGTCGCGTCGTGCGCCCAGGCGCGGCTGTGGTGCCGTAGCCACTCGGCGGGGGGGGCGTCACGTCATACCCCCCCCGCCTTCCCCCCCCCCCCCCATGACGCCCGTCATCTGCGAACATACAGAAACGCGCTCATGTATGTACGTGTGTGCTTGTGTGCGCGGGTATGAGCTAAATGTGTGGTGTGCGTGTGTGCTTGTGTTGGAGTTCGTGAGTGTGTGTGTGTGTGTGAGTGTGTTTATTCGTGTGCTTGTGTTTGTTTCCCTTCTGCGCCTCGCTCGCTGCTTGGGCACTGCAGTATTGGTTCGTATTTTCCTGTCCGTCCCTTCCCCTTCTCCCCCTTATCCTCCGCGCAAGCTCATCACATACGCCACCACCAAGGGAAAGCCACGATAATACGATTACATGTATGCGGACAGCTGTGTGCTCCAAATCTGCCGCGACGTTGAGGCTGCCAACACTGCCGACTTCGATTCCGACCACGAAGCCGTCATCGCACAGTTCCGCTTCATTCTGGAAATGCGCAGCGACCAGCAACGTCACGCCAAACAGCACACATCAAACACCAAACCAAGCAATCGACAATGTCAGTAAAAGGATCGCCAGGAGCACCTTCATCACGCATGCACGACACTACGGAACCAGCACCTACCAACCGATCTAAAAGATTTCGCCGAAGTGATAAAAGATTTCGCCGAAGTGATCGAGAATAGTTGGCGGGATACCCTAACGCTAACGCACACCGTGCACACAACAACGACACCACCAACTGTGACGACGACCAATCCCGAGAATGGCAATATTTACAAAGATCACGGCTCAATCCGGCTTTAGTATCTCACGATTGATGCACGAACGCAGGAGCATCCCAGCATCAGACACCGCCAACAGACGAGAAATCTGCAAACATTGTCGAAGCGCACCCAGAGGAACAAACAGGCGCAGCGACGGCAGCAAATATCACCCCCGAGCAGTACAACCACTTGAAGCGCATCAGTACGATCAAGACCAGCCGAACCAGATTTCATAACGGAAATGCAAGGAAACGACGACATCAGGCGCACGACGAGGCAGGAGATGGCAGCGACGTTCGCGGACTTCTACGAACAGTTGTATAAGTCCGCGACGCACTCACAATCGACGACCAGGCGCAGCACCCCATCCCGCAGTTCACGACACGGGAGCTAGACGCAGCCATGGCACAACTCAAGTTTGGAAACTCATTTGATATGAACAAGGATTTGCACACTGCCAAAGTTCGGCCAGCTCTTTGGCAGACTCTTGTACACCAGGCTTCAACCCGTTGCGGCACGCGCGACCTCTTCATTGTTTTTTTTTGTGCGAAAGCGCAGCATAACGGATTCAGCCATATTGGTCGTTGCAGTGGATTTCAGGGAAGCGTTCGGCACAGTGGAGCACAGCAGCTTATGGGCACCGCTCCGTCACCGAGGTGTTCTTTTAGTATTCATCGCCATGTTTCGGCAGTTCTGCCACGATCAAGCAGCAGTGGTACGAACTGACACCACCAGCAAACTCTTTGATCCTCCGACGCGACACAAAACATGGAGATCCATGAAGCTCGTTGCGTCTCAATTAATTCACTATTCCCACATACAGCGCGGATATCGACTGGACGACAGCCAGAGCTCCATCCTCAGCAATGTTCGGTTTGCGATCGACGTATTGTGTTTGAGCCAAATTGTATCGAACCTCAAGAGGTCGCAGCAGTAAAGCACCCCACGGGCTTGAAGTCAACCCAGGCAAGACATTAATTGTGAGCAACCAGCCCAATATTCCCAGCGCGTGCTCTGGACATCTTCGGAATAGAGACCGACCTCCTATCGCACAACGGCATGATGAAGTGCTTGGGTAAAGCGGTCTCCTTCCGCGACGCCGTTGCGAACTGGACCGTCCGACGTTCCAAGCCAGTTGGGCATGCTTACGTTCCGCAGACACGAATTCACGAACAGGCGTTGCCCATTGAAACAACTATACGGTGTGGATACTTGGACATTAACAGAGCCACTGAAGCAGCAGCCACGCAGATCACATATGCGAATGGTAAGAAAGATCACTGGCGCACATGGAAAGTGCACCACTGACACACGGCCAACAACCGACCCCAGGGGAGCCCATTACGAGAACGACGATCAGCCTCACGACTACTTGCCCGACGTTTTTTAATCCGTAGCCAGTTGGCTCAAGAGCCATGTTGGCCCAAGGTTAACGTGCAACATACCGAACTCCTGCCAGCATCGGTGGCTCACCCAGGCAGCAATGGTGAAGATCTGCGTGCTGCGCGACTGCTTGAACGGCATCGTTACCCTGAGAAGCGGGGCAAACCCCAGGTCCTTGTGCGACCCAACTCCAAGGTATTGGTCAAGTTCCTTCAGGCTGTGCAGAAGAAGGGCTACATCGGGGTCCTGGAGACCGTTGACGACCACCGCGCCGGCATGGTCGTGATGGACCTGATCGGGCGCATCAACAAGTGCGGTGTGATCTCTCC